ATAGGTATATGATGATACAAAGGCTGACCTAGTACATCAACATCCGCTTAACCCTGTGAAGACTCTGGAGCACATTTGTCATTTATGACTTAGGCCATGCAAATTAGCTGCTGGTATATATATATATATATATATATATATATATATATATATATATATATATATGTGTGTGTGTGTGTGTGTGTGTGTGTGTGTGTGTGTGAATCGACATCGGAATTGAATAGGCACCTTCGAAGTCATTCGAGAGGAAACATTGATCTAGATTGAATGCAGGTGTTGATGGGAAGACGGCAGTCATCTGTGAAGATGGGACAATCAACATATATATGTATATTTATATGTATGTATATGTATATATATGTGTATATATTTGTATGTATATACGTGTATATATATATATGTGTGTATGTGTGTGTGTGTGATCTGCAGGGAATTGTGTGAATTGACATCTGGATTGAAGAGACATATGGTGGTACACAAGGATGACCTACCATAGCAACATCAGCTTAACCCTGTGAAAGCTCTGGGGCGCATCTATCATCTATGCTATAGGCCTTGTAAATCAGCTGCTGGTTTGAAAACCTACCTTCGAAGTCCTTCGAGAGGAAACAATGACTAGATTAAATGTAGGTGTTCATGGGCAAGACGGTAGTCATCTGTGAAGATGGAGCAATCAACATGTATATTGCATGAAATTGATAGATGTAGTCAAATTAACAAGAATACGTGCTCGATGCACAGAGAATTACACATTGGCTTCTCCCGAATAAAAAAAAAAAAACTCCTTGTCTTCTCATTCACTTCACACACATTCATACATATATATATATATTGTCATCCACAGACATACTGTTTTGCTGTGTCACAGCTCATCAGTGTGGCTAGACGTCCGGTTGCCTCTAGCTAGAATCGAAACATGACTGAATTGGTTTCAGGGATGAAAGTGAAATTAAAGGGTATTTAAAAAAACACACAGTGACTGAGAGAACTTGATTCGTTTTACCGAAGAGTCTTGCATTATTAGCCGCAATAGTCACTGTTTACAAAACCACACTTCCTCCCCAGAGATCAACCGAAAATGAATTTTCAGCATATATATACACACACACACACACACATATATATATATATATATATATATATATATATATATATATATATATATATACAGTGTAACCCGGATATAAGAGAGTTGTCGGGACCGGAGAAGAAGTCTTTTATATCCGGGTTTCTTTTATATTCAGGTTTGGTCTATTTTATATACATTAACACAGGCTCTAATTTGGCACCAGAGAAAATCTCTCTTATATCCGGGTTACACTATATATATATATATATATATATATATACCCATATCCTCAAAAATAGAAACACACCTGGAATATTACAAATACGAAGAACGAATTTTATTTACGAAATCAGATGCCACTTAAGGAACTGTGTTTCTGATCAAACCGAATTCATAAATAATTATATCTTCACACTGCTATATACATATCTGGACGACTTACATTACTCCTACCCAACCATAGCTGCATTAGGGCCCATTTAAATACACAAAGAAATCTATAAGATTCCATCGGAAGTATACTCACAGAAAATGTAAGCATAATAATCTCATCCTCATTAAAAAAAAAAAAATTAAAATTAATGGGTTCACTCATAATAAAAAGAAAAAGCTAACACTCAATAACATTAACGACGAACACGGCCACAATGTGCTGTCCGTTTATTGAATATAATACATTTCTATAACTCTAGATAAATACATAACACAACCCATACATTCAGTTAAAATAAAAATAAAAACCATTCTTGAAAAGTATAGCCGAAATGCTCGAACATACAAAACTTTTCGACCGTTTTCACTCACTTTGTGTTCAGAAACGAAAACACTTGTAAGTACACAAGAAGACTATATGTGAGATAACGATGTCTATTTTTTCTATATCATGATGGGTATTTGGGAGATTGTATGACAAAATCGAAAAAGTTTACTTGTGAAGCGTTTCCTTCTTCTTGGAATATTTTTTTTTATGTTAGAAGGGTTACACATTCGCCCTACAGACGGATGTTGATAATTTTAGATTATTTTTATCTTGGCAAATTCATTTATAGTCATTTTCTTTTTCTTTCCATCACTTATGTAAGTAGGTATTCCACACTGCGTTATTAGAAGATTTGCCAAAAGTGTTGTAAAAGCCAGGGCACAAATTTACTGAAGATGACCAAGCCCTCCGTAGACATTTACGTCGTAGTGAAATATTTTCTCCTTTGATCAGAGTAGCATTTTTATGTCAAAGTTGTGGTCAGTTTTATCACGATGGGCAACCAAAGCATTTGACTTATTATTTTGTAAAATGTCCCTTTTGTGTTCATATAATCATTTATATAGGTTCCACTACGACGCAAATGTCTAGAGATCGCCTTAATCGCAAGGTCATCTGTAAATTTGTGAGGGCGGCTCCTAAATATAGCTTGTCCGAAAGCTTTTAGTAGGTATATAAGCAGATGCCTCGACATGACAGTTATGAAAGTATTAAAAATTTAAAACAAATCTGGACTAGATTAATAGAATACCACCCACACCGCACCCAAACTATACGGCTTGCCCAAAACACACAAACCCACACATAGACCCGACACGCCCATCCAACCCATTCTGTCTGGGATCAACAAGGCATCCCACAAATTGGCTAGAGATATTGCAAAAGTCCCAATTCCATTTATAGAAACTATCAACGCAACAAACACTATGGGGACTTAATCCAGAGAATCATCATCACCATCACCATCACCACCACCACCACCATCATCATCACCACCACCACCACCACCATCATCATCATCACCACCACCACCACCACCACCACCACCACCATCATCATCATCATCACCACCACCACCACCACCACCACCATCATCATCATCATCACCACCATCATCGTCATCATCATCACCACCACCACCACCATCACTATCATGACCATCATCATCACCATCATGACCATCACCATCATCACCACCACCACCACCACCACCATCACCATCATCATCACCACCACCACAATCATCATCATCACCACAATCATCATCATCACCATCGTCATCATCATCATCACCACCACCACCATCATCATCATCAACCTCATCTTGACTTATATAGTCGTAGCGCGGATCCGAACGCAGAAGCCACCCTAACTCTTTTCCACAATGGGTCTATCAAAGGCAGCCATCAGCAATTCTCGTAGGCACACCTGTCCATTGTTTGACATTGTCCAACCAGGTTTTTTTTTTTTTTTGCGTTTGGCGTCCTCCCCTACGCCCACCTTAAACAGTGCCTTGCATGATGGTCTTGCACAGGATGTTGTACCTCGTAATGTGTCAAAACCACGCCATTTTTCTCCGTTTCACAGTGGCGGGAAGAGGTTCCTAGTGTCCCACAAAACTTACAACACTTTTCCGCACTTTTTGTGTGGATCCGAACACAAATGCCACCCTAACTCTTTTCCGCAACGGTCTATCAAAGGCAGCCATCAGCAATTCTCGCAGGCATACCTGTCCATTGTTTAACATTGTCCAACCTGTTTTTGCGTTGGCGTCCTTCCCTACGCCTACCTTCACCGGCCGCAATCCAGTGATTACGAAACGTAAATATGGGAAACAAGCCTAGACATCAAATCATTATACACAAACAAACACATCACGAAATGCCTCGACATATTGAGAAATCACTTGAAAAAGTCCAAAGAAAAGCTTCCTTAATTATAAAAATAATCCCTAAATGCTGATTCTCTTTCAGTAATATTCTCTACGAGAAAAAATTAGGCTTACCTATGGTAACACGTGTCAGTGGTGATCTCGATTGACTTCATCTAAAATTCTTAGAATTCGGTCTATTTAGACTCATCATACCAAACAGATCTAAGCTAAGATATATAAATGACGTCAATAATTCTATCATAGTTTGTTCATATCTATCTATCTATGTCAGTCTGTTCATTTATATCTATCTATCTATCTATCTATCTATCTATCTATCTATCTATCTATCTATCTGTCTGTCATTCTATCTATCTATGTCAGTCTGTTCATTTATATCTATATATCTATCTCAGTCTATTCATATCTATCTCAGTCTGTTCATATCTATTTATCTATCTATCTCAGTCTGTTCACATCTATCTATCTATCTATCTATCTATCTATCTATCTATCTCTGTTCCTATTTATCAATTTATCTCAGTCTGTTCACATCTATGTATTTATCTATGTATCTATATATCTATATATCTATCTATATATCTATGTATCTATCTATCTCAGTCTGTTCATATCTATCTGTATATCTATGTATCTCTGTTCGCATCTATCTATCTATCTCTCTATCTATCTATCTATCTATCTATCTATCTATCTATCTGTTTCATTTTTAGCCCCCACCTTATCCGTACCTGTCGAATCCTGACTCACTGTCTCTTGCAACCATTACTATATCTAGCCATCACTTTGATTGTGGACCAATGTCTGTATCTGTCGCATGTTGGCAAATGTCCAGAATTAGTTCAAAGGTCGGTTCAAAGTTGCTAGGTGGGAATCTCTATGCGAAAGCACGTGGTTCCTTTTGGACAGGTTTCAATCAAATGGGATTTCTCTAGACATAAGCCGAGGACGAGAATGAGTGTTTGTGAGGAAATGATTTTGATATGGAGGGGTCGGGTGAAGGAAGGAAAAAAAGAAGGAGGAATATATTTGGTGATGGTGTTCGGGTGTGTGGAGTGGCTAAGGAGAGGAATTCCAAACAAAACAAGATAATGAAACGCTATGAAAGGGGAGGGTTGAATCAAGAAGATGGCAAATTGGAAGGTAAGAGCGAAGAAGGTCGAGTAAGAGAGAATGATAAAAAAGGAATGAAAATTAAAGGAATGAAGGAAATAGAAAGGAAATAAAGCGAAGAGAAAAAGAAGAATTAAAATGAATTTGAATAAAAAGAAACGACATCAAAGTACTGAAAACAATTTGAAAGCAATAAAATGAATGAGAAAGGACATAAAAAATGAAAAAATATGAAGGAAATATAATGAATGAGAAAGGCCATAAAAAGAATGAAAAATATGAAGGAAATAAAATGAATGAAAAAGGACATAAAAAGACTGAAACATATGAAGGAAATATAATGAATGAGAAAGGACATAAAAAGACTGAAACATATGAAGGAAATATAATGAATGAGAAAGAACATAAAAAGAATGAAACATTACGGAAATAAAATGAAAGAGAAAGGACATAAAAAGAATGAAAAATATGAAGGAAATAAAATGATTGAGAAAAAACATAAAACGAATGAAACTTATGAAGGAAATAAAATGAATGAGAAAGGACATAAAAAATGAAAAATATGAAGAAAATAAAAAGAACGAGAAACGACATAAAAAAGAAAAATATGCAGGTAAAAAAATGAATGAGAAAAACATAAAAAGAATGAAACACGAAGGAAATAAAATGAAAGAGAAAGGACATAAAAAGACTGAAACATATGAAAGAAATATAATGAATGAGAAAGAACATAAAAAGAATGAAACATTAAGGAAATAAAATGAAAGAGAAAGGACATAAAAAGAATGAAAAATATGAAGGAAATATAATGAATGAGAAAGAACATAAAAAGAATGAAACATTAAGGAAATAAAATGAAAGAGAAAGGACATAAAAAGAATGAAAAATATGAAGGAAATAAAATGAATGAAAAAGGACATAAAAAGACTGAAACATATGAAGGAAATAAAATGAATGAGAAAAACATAAAAAGAATGAAACACGAAGGAAATAAAATGAAAGAGAAAGGACATAAAAAGAATGAAAAATATGAAGGAAATAAAATGATTGAGAAAAAACATAAAACGAATGAAACATATGAAGGAAATAAAATGAATGAGAAAGGATATAAAAAGAATGAAAAATATGAAGGAAATATAATGAATGAGAAAGGACGTAAAAAGAATGAAAAATATGAAGAAAATAAAAAGAACGAGAAACGACATAAAAAAGAAAAATATGCAGGTAAAAAAATGAATGAGAAAAACATAAAAAGAATGAAACACGAAGGAAATAAAATGAAAGAGAAAGGACATAAAAAGAATGAAAACTATGAAGGAAATAAAATGAATGAAAAAGGACATAAAAAGACTGAAACATATGAAAGAAATATAATGAATGAGAAACAACATAAAAAGAATGAAACATTAAGGAAATAAAATGAAAGAGAAAGGACATAAAAAGAATGAAAAATATGAAGGAAATATAATGAATGAGAAAGAACATAAAAAGAATGAAACATTAAGGAAATAAAATAAAAGAGAAAGGACATAAAAAGAATGAAAAATATGAAGGAAATAAAATGAATGAAAAAGGACATAAAAAGACTGAAACATATGACGGAAATATAATGAATGAGAAAAACATAAAAAGAATGAAACACGAAGGAAATAAAATGAAAGAGAAAGGACATAAAAAGAATGAAAAATATGAAGGAAATAAAATGATTGAGAAAAAACATAAAACGAATGAAACATATGAAGGAAATAAAATGAATGAGAAAGGATATAAAAAGAATGAAAAATATGAAGGAAATATAATGAATGAGAAAGGACATAAAAAGAATGAAAAATATGAAGAAAATAAAAAGAACGAGAAACGACATAAAAAAGAAAAATATGCAGGTAAAAAAATGAATGAGAAAAATATAAAAAGAATGAAACACGAAGGAAATAAAATGAAAGAGAAAGGACATAAAAAGACTGAAACATATGAAAGAAATATAATGAATGAGAAAGAACATAAAAAGAATGAAACACGAAGGAAATAAAATGAAAGAGAAAGGACATAAAAAGAATGAAAAATATGAAGGAAATAAAATGATTGAGAAAAAACATAAAACGAATGAAACATATGAAAGAAATATAATGAATGAGAAAGGACATAAAAAGAATGAAAAATATGAAGGAAATAAAATGAATGAGAAAGGAGATTTTCTCTGGTCCCAAATTAGAGCCTGTGTTAATGTATATAAAATAGACCAAACCCGGATATAAGAGACTTCTTCTCCGGTCCCGACAACTCTTTTATATCCGGGTTACACTATAAAATAAAAAAAGGAGGTAAGCTGAATGAAAATAATAACGAATGAAATAAATGCAAAGGCAAAAAGAGAAGGAAGTGGGTGGGGGGCTTATAAATTGAAAGATAATGAAAAAAAAGAAAATAAAAGGAGAGAAATAACAAATAATAAAAAAAGGGAAGAAAAATGAAGGAAAATCAGAAAAATAAAAGGAACGAAAATAGGAAGGAAATAGAATAAAGGGATTAAAATATATAAAATAAAATCTGGAAAGTTCAATATAAGCGAGCAAGATTTTTTTTTCTTTTGAGATAACAATGATTTAGTGATACAAGTCTTACTAATTAACCCGTAGCGGGGGGAGAAGAGGTGGATACCCTTCCCAAGGGTATTTGCGCGTAAGTAAATATAACGAGCCCAACGGAAATATGAACACGGCTCTCCGAGTAACAATTCTGAATCATTAACCATTACATCACCAGCTAACCAAGCAGCAGTTTTTCTCAAGCGGTCATCAATGAAGATTTTGACTTAGCTCGACGTTGCTTAATCTCGGTAATCGTACGGGAACCGTTGTTGCCGCGTAGTATGGCCGTAAGTAATTACGTTTTAACAGAATGGGTACAAAAATAAAAAAAATAAAATGTATTTTTAAAAAAATATAATGTTTTAAGAAAGTAATCCTCTTTTCATCAGAAAAAGATATAAAAAAAAGTTAAACTAGATTAATTAAAATATTTTAGGTTCTTACCTGGCATCTCGGTTTCATTGACTTTAGTGACGTAGCTTCCGTATACTTTTCTATAAACACTTTTATGGTAATTAATCTGATGAATTTTCTCTATAGTACCTGGACGCAGTACGATACCTTTTCATGTCAATATCCATATCGCAAAGCGTGAAGAGGGATCTCGAAAAGGTACAATGTGCAGCACAATTGCAGAAGCATCATAAGGTGCCAACATGCATGTAATCTCTCTCTCTCTCTCTCTCTCTCTCTCTCTCTCTCTCTCTCTCTATTGTTCTTGTAACGGCATTCACCCGGGGTGGGTTGAGCCGGCTCCAATATTGCAGTTTCATGGGAATTTGGAATTCACAAGCGGTCCCCAACCCGCATGTATAGCACATGAGATTTGATTATAGTGGTGAAGGTTTCGTGCAGGACCATCCACACTTTTTGAAGGGCCGAATACAGAGACCTGGTGCACTACGCAGGTTTTGAATTCAGAGTTTTCTTTCTCCTAGACCAGTTGCCATCCAAGGCTATAGAACCCAGTCTGTCCTGCTATTTACGCATAGCTGGAGGGAGAAGATGAGGATTCACACATTTCCCATGGGTATTAGCACGTAAGTGAATGTAATGGATTCGAATGAAATTCGAACTCGGCGGTATTAGCAACTTCGACCTAATTTAGAGTGAAGTCAGGCAGGGATTGTACACAAGTAACTTGCCGTGTGATTTTCTTTAAAAAGTCCTGCGTGTAGCCAAAGAAAAGTAGGGTCGATCTTGTCATTGTCAATACAACTTGCAAGTCAAAAATCGAGTCAGTCTTAGATGGTGAGGAATTATCCGATGATCCCATTTTGAGGCTAGGACCTTACAGTGCCATGCTCAGTCAGATTTGAGAACGTTTGGTCAATTGTCAAAGCTGAAGCAAAGAGGAAATTGGCTAAAAATACCCAATAATTTCTAATCAGAGAAAGATTAACCTTGAACATCAAAGAGCATATCTATGGACCCTTTCTACAAAAGAAAAACAGAAGGAAAAAAAAACTCATTCCGGTGGAATTTGAACTCGGCTCCACGATTTCAAAATCCGAGCCGCTATCTATTTATTGACCTTTTCTACAAAAACTTTGAACATCAAAGAGCACAGGCTCCAGACCTTAGAAAATTAGATAAATACTACTCTTATAACAGTGACACCGGCAATCTACTCAAATTTCATTGCAGGCATTCAAGGCAAAATCACGAAAGCTTTAAATCTGGAAGACATGATATTTTAATTAAGATTTATTTATAATGAAAATTCAATCATTTTCTTCTATACAATTATTTTTTATATTTTCCATTCGTTTGGTTCAAACATTACCATTTTCAAATTTAACGTTCCATTTTGAAAGTTACTATTCTCAGATTGAATGTGACTTTTCCGTTTTGAGCGTTACTATTTTCAAACTGATAGTGACTATTCCATATTGAAAGTTATTATTCTTTAATTGAAAGTGACTCTTCTCAAATTGAAAGCGCAACGGTATAGAGTGGCAACAAGGTTTCACTTACAGTTGAATTGGATGCAACCGTAAGTTCTATGCTAACAGTTTCTTCTCTCGCACTACTCGTTTGTGGAACTCACTTCCCGGCTCTAAGCTTTTCAGCCAAATGTGATCTTCAATAATTTAAATGCAATGTCAATCTCTATCTATTGCCTCCCTGATAATTCTTCTATTGCTCTTTCGTAAAAATGTTTCTCTTTTTTTCTTATTTTTTATACGCAATAATCACTTGTGTCTTAGTGGCTTTACTGCCTTGCGTGGGGTGAAATCATTAAGACAATATGTTGGGAATATAAAACCAACCTAACTTTCTTGAAGTGTTTGGCAAGATAAGAATTCGCGGACATAGTAAAACGACAAATTTGCTAGAACAAGAAAAAGCAAATTTCGTCCGGTGATAGGTTCTTACTCGTTCATTTCAACAGTTGACGCAACAAAACATAAGCAGCAGTTTGGGGGTCTGTACGAAGCAGGATTTTTCCCTATCGTGTTCCATACATTTTAGTTGAGCGATCGTCATATATATATATATATATATATATATGTGTGTGTGTGTGTGTGTGTGTGTGTGTATATATATATATATATATATATATATATATATATATATATATATATATATATATATATATATATATATAGATACGTTAAGTAATTTCTTTGTTATTTTATGGCTTATCAACCCATTGTGGGTAATTTAAACTCGAAACTAATTCAAGAAGAAGAAAAACAACAAAGTGTAAAAGAAAATAAAAAAGAATTTTTAAAAAATGATTTCATCCCAAGCAAACGTGGTAATGCAACCAATACGCAAAGTGTGGTTACTGAGAGTGAAAGTGAAAGTGAAAGTGAAAGAGAAGACTGAGAATACGGAGTTATTGAGGATTGACGCTGCATTTTAAATTTTGAAGATTGTAATTATCAGGGAAGCAAGTAAACGGAAGGGAGTTCCACTGTCGGGAAGTGCGAAAAAAGCAGCTTTTGGAGTAGTTTGGTTTGGTTTGATTTGTTTTACGGCATATCAATCTCAATAGGTTATTTAATGCCAACAAATTTTTTATTGCTCTGAATGTTTTTCTTCAAAAATCTATTTCTGGGAATATTTTTCCTTGAAGAAATCTGTAGCTGGTCATATTTTTTTCAAAGAATGTATAGCGGTTTGTATTGCTGGTACGTTTTTTTTTTAAATATTGTTGATAATAATTTTTCCTTCAAACATTATTGCTGGTAATATTTTTATTACAAAGTATATCTGGTATTAAAACCTATTTTTACACAAGTTTGGGTGTCGACTATTTGTCCATAGCTGGGATTCTAACAGGTGCTACCACCCCAGGTCAGGGTGAACCTGGGAACACCAGCAATTAAGAGGTAGTTCCACGCTCATGAAAACCTCCTGATCAGAGCCCTTGCTGTTGGACGCGGATGTAGTTTATCGTCATACCGAGGACGCGGATGTAGTTTATCGTCATATCCAAGACGGATTGTTGGAGTAGAAGTGGCGGTTACATTTAACTATTTCAACAGTAAAAGAATGGGACCTAGATGCCAATCCAGTAGCACGTTTAAATTCATATATTTTGGGCACCAGTGGAAAAAGGCTCGTCAGAGCAGCTGCCATGAAAATATTTGTAGAAAAGACAGAGGGAAGCAACTTCACATCAGTAAGAAAGTTACTGTAGTCGAGATGCCAGGTCAGGATTGATTACATTGCAGATCATTCATTGGATTTTGTCAAGAATCTCGAGATATACATCATAGTCACCAGACCTGATATGGCAACAA